AGTGACCAAGAGTATGACAGTGTTTTGTGAATGATCTGTATATTTGTATTTTGTTCAGCAGTGATCCCCACAAAGTTACTGAATGGAAAAGCAGGAAGCTTTGATTTTCCCCTTGAGAACTGCCTCTCCTGCCTCACTCGAGCTCAAACTGTGCGACTCCCTTATGTTTGAGCTTAAGGGGTCTCATGTGGTCCAGCCAAACAGCAGTGATTCTCACAAAATATCTAGTTAATCAACTGGAACTGATCCATGCTTCTAATAATGAGAAGCCTAGTTTTCATTGCTGATATTTAACTTCTCCAATCATTCCTTCCACAGATATAATTATTCTGATTCTCATGCATACCATCAGGTGAAATTAATGTGTATAGCCTTCATTTATGTTTCTATGAAAGGTATTTGTTATGAATAAATCATTGATTGTGCAGAATTCTATCATTGCATCCCCAGCCTCATTCCTGTCACCAAGTTCATATTTTCTGACTACAGATGCTTATTCCTGGTTCTCAACTTTTTGATTCCAGTCATCCATTATTGTTAATACATCTTGCTTCAATGTTCTATATATTTCAGACTGCAAAAATTGGTAGAAATAATCTATCTTCTCCTCTTTGGCTCTGGTTGTTAGTGCATAAATTTGAATGATAGTGATATTAACAGTTCTTCCTTGTATGCTTGTAGATATTATCCTGTCACTCATAACATTGTATTTCAAGATGAAGCTTAGGAAAATGAAAACAAAACTTGAGAACAAAAATACAGCTGTAGGCTATTCTTCATGACTCTCAAGACTGTCTCAAAAATAGATTTGAAGCACTGAACACTAATGAACAAAGAACAGTTCAGTTGTGGACGACATAAAAGACAGCATTTTGTGAAGAAAGTAAAAGCTGATTACAAACACAGGAAATAAAAACACTAAGACAGACAGGTCATATGTTATGTTGTTGTTATGTGCCGTCGAGTCACCTGCGACTCATAGCGACCCTATATGTACAACAGCCCTAAACTCCGCTCTGTCCTGTGCCAATCGCACTGTCTCTGACACTCCCATCTCAATTATCCCAGGCACTG